TTGAAACAATGCCAGATCAATGATTCGTTCATATTATACGATGATGGGTGATGGATGGATGGGGGGGTGGTGGATAGTGAATGGTGTCCGTGGTGGGTGGGAGTGGGAGGGATTGTGGTTGGATCATCTCTCTGGTGGAGCGGCGACGGCGCGAGTCGCTCTGCTCGCCTCCCTCACACAATCTGCTGCTGGTGCTGCTGCTCCATCTCCTCCAACTTGGCCGCTCCACACACTCACTCACACACAGCTTAGACGGTCACCCACACGATATCACAAGGTACCGGAAAAAGACCGACAAGGTCCAGCTCTCAGTTGCTCAGTCGCCCGAAAAAGAAACCAGCAACAGGAAGCCAACCAAAGAGAGCAACACAGAATCGAGTATCGGTAACTGGAAGAGGCAAGTGTGGGCAAGGAAGAAAAAAGAAAGCAAAAATATGATATATTCGCGGATTGAGCGAGATGGGTGGTGGAGGAGAGTGATTCCCAGCAAGAGTAACCGCAAGTTATGGTACTCGTAGAGTACATCACGGTAGCTGGTTGGCTGTACGAGTTGGGAAAGAGGGAGCAGCATGGGTTCGACATTTGACATGGTATCATACCGGTACTCGAGTAGATGTGTGCGGTTTAGGGGGGAACCTTGTGGTGGTGGTGGTGGTGGTGGTGGGTTGTGTAAAAAAAAGGATATTTGTGGACCGAACGATCCACTCACACTCTCCCCTCCCACACCCTCCAGTCCATGTCTCGCCGCTCAGAAAGGGAACGCCAATCACATCCCCAGTATCACCGTCGGGAAAGGGAAGAAATGGACCAAAGTGGATTGCTACGAGTACCCTACGGAGGTACCGCACCTAAGTTTTGTATGTTACACTAATAGTGATTGTGGTGTCTGCCACCTGCGTAACATACAAAACTTAGGAGCTGTACCTCCGTACAACAACAACATATTCTTTTTTTGAATTTTTATTATTATAAATATTATTATTGTTATTACTGTTATGATTATTCCCCAATTTTTCCTCATAATATTACTTTTCCGCACCTTTTTAGAGGGTGGGTGAGGCGTTGTGTGTGCAACTGGAACTGCTAAATCGGGCCACACAGAGAGAGGAAGGCAACGCGACGCAGAGCAGCAACGCGAGGCAAACCCGATGCAACATGAGATTACTGTAGGAATAGTACCGGTACGAAAAAAGAGCCGAACAAGGGAATTTGGCACAGGTACGGTATTTTTGAGCAACGCATCGAAGATTCTTTATTCTTTATCTCTTTATTTTTATCTTTTTCATCTCCTCCTCCAACCCGTGTGTGCTGTGTGTACCTCGGCGGATGAAGTCAAAATACGGTTCGCTAGTATCATAGCTCTCGTTGGACAGGCTGCTGGAAAAACTGGGGCTGGGTTTATATCTGGTCGGGTTATCATAGCTGGAGCTGGGTTGCTCGCTGGCTGGACCGGGGCTGGGGCTGGGGAACTTGACCGCTCGGTATGCTTCAATGCTCAACCAGACAATACCTGTACGATATCTGGAGCGTCATTATCAACCATCAATAATGCGCATCGTTATATGTAGCGGCGACCGACGAGAGACGAAGCCCGTCTCGCCTCTTGTCCAGGGTTACGAGTATGATAATTTATGATACCGCTTGAGCACCACACGAGCACCATATGCCTTTTCCTTGCCCCAGTTTCTCTCAACCTATCCTTCAAAGAGCATGGGTTCCGCCGCTAGTACTCGTAGCGCGCTACCAAGGGGCCCACAGCGAAAATGCGGTACGAGTATGATACAGTGCTCGTAGCGATACTTGATAAATTGATATGATAATAGACAAAAAACCCTCTCGCCGCCATGGCCTGCTCGAGAGCGGCCAGTAAAAAGTCACCATACAGCCAGCCCCATCGCATCACTCCCTCTCCCCATCTCATCACCCATCACCCATCCATCACCTATCATATCCTATCCCATCCCCATCCCCATCCCATCCCATCCCATCAATCAATCAAGTCAAGCGGCAAGATCTCTCCCCCCGTAACCATTTCAATCGTCGTTAATAATTTGGGGCGTTCAGCAAGCAGGAGAAAAGGTAAGAAAAAAGAAAAAGAAGAAAGAAAAAGAAGAAAAACATGCGCCCTGGGTTCTGGTGATGGTGGGAGCTGCCGCGTCTGGATAATCCAGGGAAACCATTCCATCCAACCCGAAATCAAAATCCCCAGCCCAGCAGAGAAACTCACTTTTCTCTTCAGCAGCTTTGCCCCCTCCCAGAACCATGAATTCGTTGAATTCCGTCATTCGCGGTAGCTAACGGGCAAGAAGCACAGCCTCAGCCTCAGTACCTTCCGTACCCATAGGACACACGAGTGCACAATGATGAAATTCGTCCATAGGAGGGAACTTCCAGATGAGAAATTAATAAATTAATAATCAGCTCACTCACTCGTAGCCGCATTTTTTTTTTTTTGCACATCGATCTGTGAATTGCCACCCGCCAACTCGCACGAATCATTTGACATGCGTCAAGATGGAGAAGGGAGAAGAAGAGGTTGAAGCTGAGGAAGCAGGCATCAGCGATCAATCAGTTAATGAATCAGTCACCACTACAACGTCTCTCTTCCCAAACCCAGAAACTCAGTTTCTCAATCGATCGATTCGTTCGCCGCCAATGGGAAGGAAGGAAGGAAAATATCCACCCATTCATCGCACTGATCCAAAAAAGGGGAAAATTAGGAAAGCAGACCCTGAGCACGAACTCTTTTTTTTTTTATTACTTTCTTTTTGGGAGATGACAAGGGAGAAGGGAACAAGGTCTGACCCTGAATGTATTTGGGGGTTTCGCAACTCTCGCTCGCTCGGTCGCTCGGTCGTCACAGCCATGTCTTGGTCTTGAACTTCTTCCCGAACTGGGGGGGGAGGAAATACCCAACCGAACGCTCCGGCCGTGGGGTTTGTGGGATAAATGGATGGGAATGATCTCTTTTCCCTCTTTGCAATTCGGAAAAGCATGACTTGATCCGAAATGGTGTTTGTCTGTCTAACAAAAGGCAGAATAAGATTATTCGAAAAGTGTAGGAATGGATAGATAGGAGAGGGGAAGCACAAGTACCGGTGTTCGAGATACTCGCGCTGTCAAGAAGAAATCAGCCAAAGCGGTCAGGAAAAGCACGATCCAGTCCAGTACATGCAGCAAAAAGTAAAAAATAAAAAAAAGGAAATAACCGAAGGGAAACAAAAGCAAATCCCAAACCGAGCAGGCAACAAAAGCAGGAACGCAGGCAAGCAGGAACACTCACTCGCCCCAGGGCCACAGACGAATTGCCGTGCCTGTTCCCATCTAGTTCCTGTCTCGGCGAAGGCAAGGGTCGGGGCGCTAAGACACTCATCCCATCCCACTCCACCGTCCAAAACGCAGGAACGGAGGAAGACTTGATCAAGATAGGAACAGACGAATATTCCACAAGCAACCCCCCCGGCTATTATCGCATCAGCCGTTCCACCCCCCCCCCAAACTTGTACCGATTTGCCCTTTCCTACCCCAGAATGAGAGAGATAAACGATTCCCAGGTTATCATGTGGACCCCCCCCATCCACATGGCTGCCATAAGCTATCATAACTGATGGTAATGTGGGTAACATCGTCGACGGCCTCAGGGCCGAAAAAAAAAAAGGTTGGTGGGCCACTTGTACGAGTACTCGTACTGGTACCGCATGATACTGATATCGCGTTACTGTGCTCACTTAACCCACAGCACGATACCAAGGCCTGATTCCGCAGGATTGTACTGTAGATAAGTTTTCCGTTTCTTCCATGATAGGTTTGGTCCCTCTGTGGATTATCATATCCGAGACCTGGCCTTGGGAGAGAGGGAGGGTCGGCAGGGCGTTTTCGAGGCAGGCTAGTCCGCGTATGTAAAAAGACCCTGCGTCGCGCTCAAACTCAATTCTACCTTTTCCCCTCCTTGCGGTTTGGGTTTTTTTTTTTTTTGTCTTTCTTTACTTCGGCGCTCTCTTCTTCTTCTTCTTCTTCAGGTACCGGTACTCGAGTATACAGCCTACCGGTATCAAGATATCGCATCCTTTTCTTCCACGTATGCACAATGTATGGTTACAGTCAGTACCTTCCTTCCATCCACTTACCGGTACTCAAGAATTCCCCGGTTATCAATGGGCGGACAGACATAGCAGACATACAGATAAATTCACTTGACTTCACTTCAGGCAAAAGATGACGAGAGCCGAAAGCAAGCAATCAAGCAAGCAAGCTTTCCAGCATCCCCATAACACTTATTTCTGATTCAAAAAAAAAAAAAAAAAAAAAAAAAAAAAAGCAACAACCACAGTGCTACCCACCCGCTTCTGTCAAGAAATATGATATCGCCCGCTTTTTCTTTTTCTTTTTTTCTTATTATTTTTTTCTTCACAAAAAATAATAATAATTACTTCCCACACCCATACACCCACACACAACGGACAGAAAGAAAGAAACAACCATTCCTCACACCCAGAGTTATAAATAGCAACGTTGGGTTGGGCAAAAAGATGATCATGCCGTGGATGCGCTGCGATGCATGCGTTACCATACAGTTCTGGTACGCCCGCAATTTTGCTTTCTTGACTTATGGTAACGAACCACCCCTTCCCCCATGCTGATTATTAGATTAGAGTACGAGTACGGTAGTACCGGCATTCCTAACGGGTACCGTACCGCTTATGATGAAAAAGAAAATTTTTTTAAAAAAAATCCTTTTTAGGTGGGCGATGGGCTTTTTTTGGCTGATTTCGGCTTCCGTTCCTGACGATCTTTCGTAAGCGCGTTAGCGTAACTTTGCCATTTCGTATTGTTAAGGTATGGATAGTGCACCGGTTATGATACATATCTGGCTTCATTCCGAGCGATGGACTATCTTGCTTACGTACGGTACTCGTACCGTACTGACTTGTGTGTGAAAAGTAGAAGGAAGATTCAAGAAGAGGAAAGGAAATCGCCACTCTTCTTTAATGACAGTAACCCGCAAATACCTTCTGCCTGCTTTACCTAACAGTAGACAGATGTACTTGTATCATACCCTACACTACGAGCACTTCCTTATACTACATTATATGACAATATATAAATAAGCATGTAAAACCCTCCAACGAACGAACCAACCAAACCAAAACCCAACAAACCGACGACCCTATCAGATGAGGGCTATAAAAAGGTGGATATAAACGGTTGCTCGCAGGTTTTACCATTCTCCGATAGACCCGGCGAGTCAAAAGTCGAGCCAATCAATCACCTTCTTGGACAGTTAATTTACCAAAATGTCGGGAAAAGAAAATCCGGGCATGCTCGCGATATGATATGATAAACCGTATGATATGATGCCCTCTCTGCCTAGCCTAGCCTAGCCTTAGCCTTCTTCTGACTTGACTTGACTTGACTCGACTGACTGACTGATTGATTGATTGATTGATTGACAGGCGAAGTTAACTGTTTTACCAGAATGGTGCGAAGCCAGGTCACGGCATTTACCGGTAAGGAACAATGATGGATAGGCTGAGACGTTAATCCATCCAATCCATTCACGATATTATCTCGAAAGGAAAAGGAAGGAAAGAAAAAAAAAAAAATTTCATCTTACAGTTTCGACGACCACGGGGTTTCATTTGTCCGTCCATCCATCATCCTCTCCCACCGCCTATTTTCATTCATTCATTCATTCACATTCAATTCGGTGGATTACGGTAACAATACTCGAGTATCATCCAGTACTGCACAACTCAGCCCCTCGGGCTTGAGAAAAGGAAACCCGTTTTATGCAAGCTTTTCCTTTTTCCTTCTTCTTCTTCTTCCCACTTCCCCCTCGGCATGTGTTATTTGCCTTTGCATACGCGTACAGTATGATACCGGTAGTAACTTAACTTTGTACTCGTAGATCTCCCCAATTTCGAAACCCTTTGTTTTTTTTGCACTCGGGAAAAGGGTTCTTTTTTTCCTTTTCCTTTTCTTCTTGAGCTGGGGGCTGATGAAAAACTTGTAACCCATAAACCGGTATTTTGGAATTCGTTTCGTTTCGTTTCGTTCCTTCCCATATGTCGTCGTCATTCACAGGGGGAAAAAGAAAGGGGTGGAGGAGGAGGAGGGAAGGACGAGAATAGAACTCACGGCGTACGAGTAACAAGATGGGTGTGTGTATGTGTGTATGTGTGTGGTTATGGCCGTTTAATTCATCATTCCCAATGATTATTGGTGGGGTGATACATAATTATGATGATGGCACGAGAAAGGTTGTTGTATTTACAATAAATGCGTAGGGTAAGGTCGCGTAAGCTGTCAAGGCAAGGCTGTTTGATGTGGTGGTTATACGGCGGATTGGAGTTACATAAGTTGACACAGCAGATTATCGTATTGATCGATTGATCGATTGATTTGTACCCGCTCGAGAGAAACTATTCCACGGTATCCAACAAGCGCTTGTGCTGCTCTGCTCCTCTGCTCTCTCTTTCTCTCTCTCTCTCTCTCTCTCTCCTCCTATGAATATCCATAGAAATGCTGGGGGTGTCGTCATTTCTTACCTTGGAAGGAAGGAGGAGGAACTTGCCAATCACCTTCCTTCCTTCGAGTCCATCTTACAATATATCATAATCGGGCGGCTTTTTTTTCCCCTTACTTTCATGCTCGTCTCCAGGTTTTTTTTTTCATAGGTGAGTTAACCCCCACCAGCCCAGCTCGGTCCAGCGCATATGTCATGGGAGAAGGAGGAAGGAGGATATGTGAAAAATGGATGGATGACGGGGGAAAGAGGACTACGACGGCAGGTGGATTACAGCGCTGTACGGGCACACAGCGCTTCCTTCATTCCTTCCTTCCTTACTTCCTTCGGGGCATCAGTCAGTACAGTACAGCACGTACCGTACTCGTACTGTACGAGTATAATGATACAAGTAGGGATCATACCTGCCGTACCATCATACTCGAGTGCATACATACATACATACATACATACATACCCGTGTCCACACCCATGATACCTACCCACCCACCGTACCATGAGTATACTCTCGTACGGTAAACCAGTACCATACATGTACAGTACCGTACTGCACAATCACACCCAACAACGCAGGAGAAGCATCACCCCTCCCCCCCGGTATCAGTCTCGGTCTCAGTATCGGTATCAGCATCAGCATCGTGGGACCCTATGCTATGATATGATATTATAAGCGGGAATTGGCGTTACAATACACAGAGGGGCCCATGATACACGCCCACCTCCATTTCCACAAGTCTAGCCGTGCCGAAGGGCAGAAGGGGGAGAGAGAGAGAGAGAGAGAGAGAGAAAGAGGCATGATCGCGAGCTACGGGTGCACAAGTGGAAACCGTTTCTCATGCAGTGAGCGGGCAAGGCAGCAAGCAGGCAGGCAGGGCACGAAGACGAGACAAAAAAAAAAAAAAACGGGCGACAGAAAGTGAACGGTAAAATGTAACAATACGGCACCGCGCAGGTGTGAAAAAAAGGTTGAGAGGAAAAGAAAAGAAAAGAAGGGAAGGAGAAGGAAACAAAAAATAAAATAAAAAATAAAAAAGTTCCCGTATGGAAACGGCATCTAGCATATCGTGACACAACACCTCGCAACGGCCCTATCATTCATAGCCCACAGTTGCCTGGGACAAGTAATTTACAGTACTAGTACAGACTCGAGTCCGGTATTATAATATGTATCATAATATTATCAGTCATCAACATTCTTCCTCCAAACCAAAAAAAAAAGAATGGAGGAAACTACACCATCAGGGCTAACCCTTCTAGCTTCTTCCCTCTCCCGGTCACTTCGATGCCAAGCCGTCAACCTCAGGTACGAGACTCGAAACTTCTCTTCTCTTTCCTTCTTTCTCTCTTTCTTCCCTTTCCTTCTTCGTGCGGCGATTCACCCATCCGTGTTGCCTATCCGCTTCTTTTCACAATTGCGAAGAGTCAAAATTATTGGGCGTCAGGTGGATCACAGAAAGAATTTAATTGCAGATGAACGGAAATTCCAGAAAATAAACCTCTCGTTCCTCTTTTCTCGGTGGGGAACGGGGGGTGGGTTTTGTTCATACATGTACCGGTACGAGTACTCGAGTATGGGGGAAGGTATGATATCGTGGATAGATAAAGTGGGCGAATAGGGAGGGGGAGGGGGAGGGGTTTTCCATATCATGATAGATAGATGAAGAATACAGTACCGCACCCTACAGTAAAAACGCTCAATTGCTGGGCGGAAGAAGAAGAAAAAAGAAAAAAGTTCCGAGCGAAATGAAATGAGATGGATGAGGTAAATTACTTCCGATCAGGTGCCAAAATCCCAACCGGTCTCCTACCCTACTACTCCCTTCCCTTCACTTCCCATTCACTCCCTCCAAATCGATATCAACCCAATCCAATCCCAGTGTTTACCATACAGTACTCGAGTACCTATGCACCCGCTTCCGGAAAAGAAAAGAAAAGAAAAGAATCCCCCTCACCCTTCCGAACATCTGGATAGCTGACGCGCTACGGTACCCTCTTCCTCGTTCCGCTCGCTCTCTCGCTCGCTTGCTTGGCCGCCCGCCTACCTACCATACCTACCCAGCAGGTATCAGACCGGCACAGCAACTGGTATCGTAGGACATGTACCGTTTAGGTGGGATAACAAGTGTTCGTTAGTTCCTTTTAGGCAGGCTACACACTATTATCAAGTATTTGAAACCTTTTCGAAACCTGTTCCTGCGTTTTTGTGTGTGTGGGGGAAGGGGGTTTCTCTTTTTTTTTTCTCTTTGCTTTTGCGGCGGCGGCGGCGGCGTTGCTTGCTCGCTTGTTCCTCTTCCTCCCTCCCTTCCTTCCCCCACATTCACCATACTCGTCGTACCTTACAGGCACACGTGCTGCGGTTGATTGATTGTCGATTGGCAGAGCGCGCGCTGGAGGAGGAGGAAGGGAATTGGGAAGGAAGGAAGGAAGGGAAAGAAGGGAAGCTCATCCAGGAACGAGAAAAACAAATCAAGGGGAAAAAAGGAAACAGCCCGATCAGAGATTCCCTTCTCCGCTTCCCACGCACATCATATGAAGATTTGAATTCTAATCCGACGGTGAAAGAACCTTCCCAACGAATCAATTACGTACGAGCACAGTACCGGTATCTTCATCTCTTTCCTTCTTCCTTCCTTTCCTTCCATCCTTCTCTACAAACCATGTGTAAGGGGAAAAAACATCCCGGTAAGTCCCATCTCTCATCACCCTTCCCTGGGCTGGTAAGAAATATAAAAAAAAGTACGTAAGGTACCACACGGGTACAGCAAGCATGGTACAAGTACAGTACAGGTAAAAAGAAAATCAAATAAAACACAAAAACACCCCCAGCCAAGCCCCCTCCAGCCAAAACCGAACCTCGGTGAGTTCATCCATACTCCACGAGTACGAGTACTGTATGATACAGGACCGAAGAAACTCCCCCCCCCCACGGAACTTTCCCGCCTATCATACTCTAAGCGTGACGCACGGACCCGACGGCGAAACCTCGCTTCAGCTGATGGGTCCTACCGAACCTGACGGTGAGGGGGGGAGAAGAAGAAAAAAATGCTACCCGGGTGATGTCCAGCAAGGGGGAGGGGAATACGGTACGACGCTGGGAAGCACTCGTACAATGTTCTGAAAACTTCCGTCGTGCATGATTATGGGGGGGGGGGAAGGTTTCGATATCATGTTGCTATTTCGATGTACATTACCGGTATAGGAGAGGAAGGGACAATTCGTAACGTGACTATTTACTTACCTCTTGTGTTCGGGTAACGCCCGGATTATGATATTAGGAGCATCGGGGGAACCCATTGATGCGCCCATAACTATGCGCTACACTCTCATGGCAGCCCAGTATCATACCTATCCCATCCACCCAACCACGTATCATACATTCTCGACATCGCGGTATGATATGAGCACCTCCAATCCAGTACCAATTACCAGTCTAGAAGGGGAGAAGAGGTTATGCACCAGTCAACCGGAACAGAAACACCCGACCCCATTCCCGTCAAGTCACAAGTAATAACTTCCCACGCCTAATACCCATTGAAAAGGTCAGTGACCACCCTACGCGAAAATATATACCGTACCGTACAATACAACACTATACAACAAAAACAAAACAAGCAAAAGCAATCGAGAAAGGAAACCTCCCTGCCCCCTCTCCCACGATTCCCACATCTTATTATTATAATACCGGTATTCCCAACAATGAGACGTGAGAGGAGAAAAACACACCACCCTTACCTATTATGCGCCTGATTTTATACAGTACGAGTACAGTGCAGTACCGTTCTGTCCACTGTATTGCATATGTATGCAAGGCCGAGTGGCTGGATTGAAGCGCGGTTTGATATCATTTCGTCTCATCATACTCGTACAATAGGGAAAGAAAGAAGAAAAAAAATAACCCAAGGGGCAAGGTTTGTACGGGTACTCGAGTACTGTACCGGTATCGTACCGTGGGGGGTAATTGAGACGGTTTACTACAAGTGGTCTAAAGTGAAAAATGGAGGAAAAGAAAAAAGATGCACTACCGGTAGTTGTAGTAGTAGATTTCATTTTTTTTTTTTTCTTTCCCTTTGTCATTTTTTGCTTTTTTCGAATCAAACCTTCCTTTTTTCCTTCCCTTCTTTCCAGAGAAGTGTTCGAGTAAGAGTGGGAGAGAAGAAAGAGAAGAAGAGGAAGGAAAGGATATCACATCGAACGACATGAAATTTATTTCAAGTCTCTCGTTTTTTTGTTTTTTTCCCTTTTACTGCAGCAACTTCTTCCTTCCAAACTCTCCCCTTACACTGCCGCCGTACTCGAGTATACTGTACTTTGCTCTCCCCCCATCCTCTCTTTTTTCTCTGCACGGACCAATCATTTATTTTGAGGACGAGAAATGGAACTCGAAAAAAAAATTGAAGAGAAAATTAACACCACAAACTCCCTTGGAATCGTGTGTGGAACAAAGAAATGCCCTCCAGAAAGAAAATTCATTCCCCAGACAAATCCCCAATCTTCTCCAACTTGCCCATTTCCTTCTTCTCGCCCTTTTCCCCAATGACCCTTAGCCTATCAATCCTAACCTTCTCGGCGTCCTCATTCTCAACATCAACGAAAAAGATGTTGAGCGTGCTCACGCTCTGAAACTTGACATACTTGAGGGGCACAGAAACCGTCCCAGTCTTGGGGTCCCAGTCGGAAGGATTTAGCGTAATTTCCTGCGTAGCCGGGCTCTCACCGTCCTCAAAGGACAACGTGTGTGGTGGATTGACCCAGATTTTGATTGTCTTGGGGCGAGATGGTGTGTCCGAATCCTTATCGTAATCTGGGTGTTCCGGGGCCGGCGCAAGGGATGTCACCTGAAGCGTGTGGATCTTGACGGTAGACTGAAAGGGGATGAAGAGCATGAGCTGTTCATCAGTGTCAGATTCGACCCAATCTCTGCTCGCCGCTACCTCAGTGCCTGAATCCTTCTCCTTCCCTTTACTGCTAGCGGTAGCCTTGCTGGGTGCCTTCATGTCAAACAGTGTCTTGGCTGGTCCGAACTCGGAGTTTGCGTTGAGAAGATCCAACTGCTTGAGGTTCACCTGGTCCGTTACATCGCTGTACGGCTTCGGCAATTCAGCGCCAAGCCAGCCCGCATCGCTATCGTCCGACGTGTTGACGGCTGGGGTAGAAGTGGTGCCAGCAGCAGTGGAGGCAGTGGCAGCGGAGGTGGAGCTAGTAGCGGTAGGTTTTGTTTCGGATGCGGTAAGCCCTTCGGCAGCCGAAGAGGATCCAGAATCAGAGGCTTGAACCCCCTCCACCAATTTGGTAAGAGTAGTCCTGAGAACCATGGGCCTGGCGCCCTGGACACGCTCCACCAGGGCTCCATTGTTGAACACAAGGAAGGATGGCATCCTGCAGAGTAAAATGAGTTCGAGTTAGCCCCCATCATTTCCATCCCAAAAAAGCAAAGCCCCCCCCGCGCCTGGCAATACTGGACCCGGGGAGAAGGAAAAGAAACAAAAAAGCGAACACGGCTCGTTCGGTGTGCTACCTACACTGTAACATCAAGGTCCTTGGATATCTGTTGGTTGTCATCGACATCACACTTTGCGAAGACTATTTTTCCGGGAGACGCAAACTTCTCGGCTAGCTTCATGAAGACCGGGTTGACGATTTTACATGGGGCACACCAGATGGCATGAACTGCAAGGGAAAATTGCCAGTCAGCGAAATTACTGAAACTTCAAACCGGCAACATGATACTAGGCGGATGCAGCCAGGATAACGGATGAGGGGAGGGGTCAACACACAATCGATAATGAGGAGAGTGGAGGTCTTCTTGAGCTCTTCGAACTGTTCTGGAGACGTTATGATGCTGACGTTTGCCATGGGTGCAATATGTGTCGTTTGGAGGTGAAACAGCTAACTGGGAGAAGGGGGGAACAGACGTCGATGTTGAGAGATGCGAAGAGATGGATAGACGTCGTTGCGGGGCCAATCCAAGGTGGGGTGGGGGGGTTGTGGGTGTACCTTACTAATTCACATTTTTCTTCTTTCAGTTACCATCTGATTAGTCAGTGTCATGGAATCTCATTCGAAAAGCAGTTTAAAGAAGGCCATTTACGTTTCACCATGACAGGAGAGCTCCCGTTGCTACATTATCTCCTCGCCACCACCTTTCCCAAGTATATGGAGCTCTGATCCGGATGAAGCCTTTCTTCAAGATCGGAATAAACGTTAGAGATCCCTTTACTTGCGGGTTTAAGCTCTCACCCTGCGATCCCGTCCACCCCCGCCCGCTCCCAACGAAAAGAGTAAAAACCTCCGAAATCTACCGAAAAGCCGAAAACGTCCAAGCAAGAGTGGGGGGAAGCGGTGAGGGACGTCTGTAGCCGGAATACTTGGCCAACCTCAAACCACAATGGCTCCCCGACAATCAATCTGATGATAATTATGGCTCTATTAGGCAATATAGTAGGTGATTTCCTACTCGCTGATAGAGAGAAAATGAAATTATGATACCTCAAGTTTACCCCATCTTGGCACCTTTTCGGTGGGTCAACTCTTCGACCCTATCAGCCGTCCAAGAAAGTGCCCGGACACCATCGCACCAAGTGAGGCAGCAAGGGTGCCGTGGTGTCCGGTCACTTTTGAAACTGGCCAGCACGCATTCGTGATCAACACCCACTGGGGCTTTGTAGCCTGACCTCTGGTTCTGGGAAGGATATCGTATCAGTTTGAAATCATATCGTGTCACTCGAACCCCCTAATCCCTCTCTGGGATACCGAGCAGTGGACTGAGACCAACGACACCACAGAACGGCGCCAATTGGTTCGCGATAGAAGTCTACTCAGCGCAGTCGCCGGGCATCACTGGGATCAACTATCATGCACAATAAATTTTTACAGGAATAATAGCGCTCAGACTTATATCCCACTTACCGGCAATCCTTCCTCAATCCTACACACTTCCTTCCTTCCTTCCTAAAATCCACAAACACGTGCTCTCCCCCTCGTGCTTCTCCGTTTTTGACCGCCTGGTCCCCATCGCCATGTCAGTCCCGGCCGATACGTCACCGATTTACATAACCTCCAAGTATCGTCGGACAAATAGCCTTCGCCAAGAGTTATTAGAAGACATAACTCAGATAGCGTTGAGGACTTATCTCACCGTAGTGGAACGTAACGAAGGAAAAAGGAAAGAAAAAAAAGAGGGAAAAAGAAACAACCCAACCACCTCTTTACTTTACTCGTACTACAAGTAGAAGTAACTAAAGTTAACTAAACCAACACCGGAAGTCCCTACACCACGGTGCTTTTGAAGGGGGGGGAAAAAAAAGGAAAGGGAAAGGGGAAAGAAGGATCGGATAAGGGGAGGAGGATTTCTGCGTCAGCCGAAAACACCCACTTTTAGAAAAACTCCCGCCGATGGGGGGCTGGTTTTGTTTTTACTGTATCCCGTTGACGACTGGGGCTGTGCCCTGACCCGTCACCTAGATTGGAAGATGATGAGAGGGCTAGGGTTTTTTCTTCGAGGGTTAGGGTTATTTGATTAGGATTGATAGTTAATTTGGATTTGAGTAGTACTTGTACCGGTATGGTCTATTAATTTTAAAATCTTCAATGGAATACCAAGCCCAATCTACCTCCGCCACCTCCCGTCACCCTGGCCGCCCGTGACTGGGGGCCAGTGGCCAGGACCGGGGTCGGGTTCATGACCGATGCTCGACACGCGACGGGTCCGGCGAAAACTATGTATGATTGTCGGAATCATCCATCCATCGCTAGTAATAACCACCGCCGACACGTGAAGCAATCGAGGGAACGAAGATCTTCAGGCAGGGTAGACTACTCGAGTACCGTAGAGGGAAGAAGCATTTGAACACGGCTTGCTATCCGCAGGCGGCGGTGTGCATCGACAAGTTATTCGAAAAAGGGCCCCCCCGGCCGAGACAAGCGATAGCCTACGGCTTCTCACAACCACCCACCGGTGACAACCTCCGAGCGGAGAAAGGGAGCTACAGTGACTAGCTAGCTAGCGACTTGTCGGAAACGATTCTCCAATCACCGACCGCCATTTCACCGCCAATCTCCACGCCGATCCATCTGTTTTTCGGGAAGAAAAAAAAGAGAACATGTCTGGATGATCCGCGAGTGATCTTGCGTGATCGCAACGGCGCCTAACGCTAGTCCTTCCTTCGTTTCACCATGCTAGCTAGCGCATTTTGGATCGCGCACATTGCTGTTGGTACACGAGTATCATACGAGAGATGGAAGATTAGACAATGGTTAGTTCTCTGAGGGGAGTACACGATTTTATTAGGGGATTTTTTGGGCTGTTTCGCCGACTCATCCTTTGCGCTCGCGCGGGTTAATATTAAGCGGGGCTGTTCCGGTGCTTTTGGAAACGTGCGAGGGGATTTCAGTCACTCACTAAAAACTCCAATGACGAGTGGGCTTGACTGGACTAGCTGGTTTACCCCAGATGCGCCGTGTTGCTAGCTAGCTAGCTAGTACTACTATCGTACGAGTACGAGTACCGTACTCTAAGCTGGATGGTCAGTTTGTGGGTATCATACTGCGCCCTAGTGGCTAGGCTACTGGAATGGCTATTAGTGGCGCTTATGGGTGAAATTGATGGAGGTCTGAGTTGCGGGGCACGTGGTTTTGGTCGTAATTAGTTAATTGAACGAGTTTTAGCATCACATCGTTGGCCAAGTGAGTTATACGGGACGGATGGTTGAGTTACTGTCGCTGTTGGGGCTTTATAATAGAAGGGTGAGTTAGTGGGTTTTATATGATAGTAACTTGATGTCGTGATAGTTGCATAGTAGATAGATAGCTGCTACTAGTTAATTACAGTAGGGTACAATTAGCTATCTACGATGAAATTCTAGGATAAACCCGGGTATGCAATACAATACAATACAAGGGGCGATCAGAAAATTAGGCCCCGTTTGGCATGGAGCTATAAGAAATGGTTCCATTTCAAAATAGTTCGAGACGTGAAATTGTCTTCCATTTCTCTCCCCATTGGTTCCCACCAAGTCTGTTTGTATGGAAATGGCTCCATTTGCACAAAATAGGGACTTACCCTAAGAAAAAAAGAAGAATAATAATACTGGTTTGAAAGAAATAAGTGATTATATACTAGAGCACCTATTGTAATCGGTATGCATCACTGATCAATTACGGTACTAATTTGGCGATCCATATTGTTTGATGGCTTGTGGTAATCATAGGAAAGTTGTTACTATGAAGTATTAAAATAATAATATTATTATAAACTTATCCTATTGTATAATTTCTTGAAACAGTGTATTATACTGATATGAAAAAATTTCATGGCTAGTTGTGTGTGTTCGGAAATTTTGAAATGGAAGGAAATGGTCACTTTGTATGATAAATATTATGAGGGAAATGAAATGGCTCCATTTTTGCCGAACGGGGCATTATAGAGATGTGAGAACGTCAAGGCTTCCAACTCAATTCGAGAAATCTCCACGCTAGATTCTTTCAATTAACCATTGAGTACATAGAATACGGTATCATACGTCTCCTCCTCCACACACGTTCGACCCTCGGTACCGATAAAAGAATGATAGCAAACTTACCGCAACGGACTAACATCGGTCGGAAACTCTCAGCGCTCTGATAGCGGCCACGGTGACAAAATTTCTAGCGGGTGGTGAATTCGTGATGGGCATTCTGTCTACCTGTGATACTCTGAATCCGGCCTATGATAGAAGAACGGGGGTGAGGAGGCTATTATGTTTCGGTCTTTTTTATTAAGGGGAAGAGCAACTTCGTTATTTATGCATTCTTGCACGATTTTGCCCAGGTCACGTTTATTATGTAGTAAACCGTGCTCGGTCTCTCGAGGAATTGAACGAATCCGACTCGTTAACCTTAACTTAAACGGTGGATACGTCACGGAAACGGTATCATACTTGTACAGTATCATACTTGCGAAAAAAAAAAAAAAAAAGAAACGGATGGTATGGGATCATCGGACGAGTACGATGTCATAAGAAAATCTTAGAGTGATAATGTGTGATCAAAGTGCGTTTTTCGTGCTTTTTCGCCTTTGGGAGTGGTCGCTCCAACTACGGGTTCTCTCAAACACGGCGGGTTGGAGGGATAGTGAAGGTATGATAGCTGGAAATCATAGTGGTGGGGGGGAAATGACCGACGGGTCAGTTATTTGGGTATGATATATATTTGGATGGTAGTCTTGAGTAGGATCGGTATGACACGACGCAGGACAAACAATGGAGACTTCCCCATGCCTTTTGGCACTCTAAGTTATTATGCGTGGGAGACGCCGAGCCGATTTCAAAGTTCGAGCATGGTATTATATCCGTCATGAAAAAAGCTTTTGTTGTTCCGATGTCTGAGTACATGAATCTAACGTATGCCAGGGTATATACAGTTGTATGGTGGTCTATAGTGAAAATCTAAACATCTAAACAACGGGAAGGGAAGCAAACAGACAAACGGAAATAAAAGCGCAAGAATGGCAATTAAAAACACAGCAATACGGTAACCCAAAAGAAAGCTCCCTAATGGTCTAACCCACAGTCTAACCTATCCATCATCATTATCATCATCTCGCGGGATATTCTACTCGGGTAATCTATGCAAATCCAAAGGAAAAAAGAGAAAAGGAAAAAAAGTCTAAACATCAACACTAGCTGCTCTCGCAGCGTTTCCCAAGATTGCGCAAATGTTTTCGTTCTCACTCACGAGATCAAGAGGCATATGGCCGGATTTAGTTTTAAGTGTGACTTTAGCTCCTCTCTCCACGAGAAAATTGACAACGTTGACGTGTTGACCGGCCCAATGAAGTGGGGTCCAAAGGTCACCGTCCTGAGCATTGATGTCGGCGCCGTTATCAAGGAGTAGTTTAACCATGGAGACATCCGGCTTCTCACAGGCAAAGTGCAAGGGTGTGGCGCCATGATAGTCATCGAGTCTAATGTCGGCGGCTTTATCGAGGAGGAGTTTGACCATCTGCTCGTCTTCAGCTGAGACGGCAAAGCTGAGAGCTGTTCGCCCTTCCGAATCCGTAGCATTGATGTCTGCGCCGTGAGAAAGGAGGAGGCGAACGATATCGTACCTTTTGTTCTGTGCCGCGATGTGTAGAGGTAGGATGTTTCCTCCGAACTTGGCTCCGATATTGGGGTTTGCCTTGTTACGGAGGAGGAGCTCGACCATTTCCACTTTGCCAGTGGTGACAGCGCAGTGGAGAGCAGTTTCCCCATCTCCGTTATGAGAAGAGACATTGATGCCACGGTCCACCAATAGCTGGGCTACCAAGAGTTGGCCCACTTGGGCTGCGACGTGTAGGCCAGTTCCGAGGTAATCGTTGATTTCCATGCTGAGACCGTTATCAAGGAGGAATTCGACAATCTCGGGTTCGCCACCCTTAATAGCGTCACTGAGAACACTCTCGTCGTCAGTCGTAGGAACGAAGGTGATATCTGCACCTCTAGACACCAAGAATTTCGTCATGGCCAATTTTCTGTTCCACGCAGCCCAGTTGATTGCGCGGAAATCTCCATTGTTGTCGTTATTGTTGAGGACAAGGTTGGCCCCTTTCTTCACTACAAAATCCACAATATCTTTCGAGCACATTTTCTCCTCATCACCGATCTTTTCGCCATCCAACTTGGCCAGCCCGATGGTAGCTCCTTTCTCAAGAATGTATTGCACCATATCCGCATCTCGGTTCGCTGCAGCGTAGTATATAGCTCTGGTGGAATACTTGGGGGCTGCGGCGAGCTTGCAGAGGAGCGGAGACAGCGTAAAAGCGAGGCGAGTGTTCGTCCTGAGAAGAGAGCTGAGGTCACGGGCATCCTCTAGGTTCTCCGCTACAAGGAGCAATAGCTCATCAGGGAAGTAAAGCAAACCCATTTTCTTGTGGTTGCGTTAATCCCTGGCACTGAAACTATCCGTCGGACCTGCAAGAAACCTTAGGGTTAGCCAAGGGAAGAGCACCAGAGGACTGGAGAAGAGAATGTAAGTACCGGCTTGGATCTGGATGGCGAACTTGACTGGCTGGGAGAAGACGGTCTTTGATTGTCTGTTGACCACGAATTCCATAGAGATGAGTGCGCGTTTGATTATAATGGGCGAACCTTGTGTAAAGGCGCGCAGAGGATGTTTGAGAGAGGTAAAGCACTTTTTTCTTTTTGTGCGGAGGTGGATTTGTTGCCAGGAGGTAGATGTAGGGCGGGGAGGAAAAAGACAGAGGAAAAAGACAGAGGAAAAGGACAGAGAGGAAAAGGACAGAGAGGCAAAGGATAGAAAGGCAAAAATTTTTGGGGGGAGAAAGAAAAGGGACTAGCGCGGCTGGAAGGTTTCCAGAATTGGAACCAAGCCTTCTTCTGACTCCGTGGCACGCCCTATCACTCGCCGGAAAAATTTCATGCTCAGGGTTTCCATCACGGTAGGGGAAACTTTGTAACCGGAGCGCATCCGATCAGAAAAATGCCCAACTTCAAACCGCTAAGGCTCCTCGACAGCAACATTTATTTTTGTTTTCTCTTGACTTCTCCGTATACAATAAGCTGGGGATTTGAAAAACAGAAAGGCATTTTTAAAATGCTAACTTTTGGATGAGCTAAAGGGGTTTAAGGCCAGGCAAGTGAAACACAATGCCTCTACCGACTGCCAAGATGCCAGTCCGTATCGCCAAGAAAGCCAAATTAACTGATACTTAACCGCCTCGGAGTGTTGATAAACATGTATTCTTAAGCGAAATGAATGTCGTGAGTGATCCGGTTTTAGGCTTTCCCCCGGCCGTACGACGCCGGGATTTCGAAGGCTGCTGTCGTGCAACGTTGCCATAAGCTTTGATGTGTCGTTGTCGGCTTCAGAGCCCCATTCCTGGCCTGGTATGTACGGTACTGTACCACAACCTATGCGGGAGGAGAGAGGATTTGCCATGCCTTCTCGGGGATCCAAGTAAGACTTACTCTTGCGATTCGCCGCCGAAATGTATTTTAATCGAGATCCCACCAATATGAGGGTTAGCTGCTGAATGATAACGGCAGGATTAACTGTGCTCGAGTATTTATTGGCATTCCGTTGCGATTTGTCTGGGATTCACGGGCATTAATGGCACTTCAACGTGGAAGCCTTCAGGCCCAGCCTTCGGGATATATTCAATGCAGAGAAGTCTTCCTAGGAAGTCCTAGGTTTTTATTCTTATTTTTTTATCACCGAATAATTATTATATAAAGTACCGGCACAGTACGAGCGCAGCTGTCAATGAATTGATTAGCCTTCTAGGTTCACCCCGGCTCTGGATATCATAGGTTTAGTCATTCTGCTGTGGTACCTGGTGTCATGCTGCCAATAGCATGCCAGGGAGCTTGCTAGGATTACTACTCCCTCTGGTTCATAATCTTATGCGACACCGGTCAAGAACCAGTTTCGATCCAACAAAACAGCGAAAGATATCAGGTCCATCGCAAATGCCATGAGTGAGAGACTTGGACGGATACCAAGCTTTCAATGAGCGGTATGAGTACATATCTGAGAAATGTGCTCTAAGATCTGACATTGCCACGTCTCCACTACCGCGGGTAATACCTTAAATTTGGGAGATCACTGGATGGGCCAGATGCACTAATTTGGATTAGCTTCTGTGATATTCGCTACCCTAACTACGGACCCAACTTAGTATCATGTCGGAACTGATAGATCCTCGTTGTGGGAGGTGCCTTGCTTAGATTTCTGCGTTGGTTCTCTCGGAGGCTAGCTACCGTAAGGGCTGGGATATGATAGATAGAGCATGTGGTTGGTAGTCTGAAATTTCCTCCTAGGGAATAGGGGCGAGAGGGGCGCTGGAACGCTTGCCTTTTTCCGGGACAAGTAGTACAGCATCATATCTGTAATACTCGGTATCGTGCTACTGAAATCACCTGGTCAAAAAGTGCGGAAAATTGGCTTGCAGTTCGTGGCAAGGCGGACCCTCTGAGATCACATTAAGGCTACTCAAGGGGACACCATAAGCTGCTGGTCTCATTGCGTGATTGGAGTGAGTGCGATTAGAACTGGCACGCCTTATCATACAGAATTTGATAGTCAAGTTCCGTGTCCCATCCACTTATTCCAATGTGAGCACTTATTTAACACCCAGTACCCCTGTAATCCCTCCACAACCGATACATACGAGTACGCAAAGACAATCCTAGGCCATCAAGGTGTTAGGGGAGGGAAAAACGAGGGGGGGAAGCTATGATACTCAGCAAGTTTATATCTACTTCGCGAATTTCTGCCCGCAATTCAGTACCCCCGGGCCACTAAAACTAATTACATAGAGCATCTTGCACTAAGACGGATACGGTGGAAAGTGCCTAAAGGTGGGACCTCCGGTGAAACGGAAATTCCGTTGCTGCCGATCGGGATTCAGCCAAGAGTTGCCAAGGCATGATTAGTAATGTGCAATGATATTTACTACGATATAACAATAACTAAAGAATCACAACTTGCCGATTCTAGATGCACAGTACTTTTCAGTGCTTTGAATGGCCCAAGTGGATGTCTAATAATATTGGAGACTTTACAGTTCACTGGGCCAAAAATGAAAACATGTGGAATGAAGTGGGAAGAGAAGTTTATACCTTCTGAATTGTAAAAAGATATTTATATATGCAGAAACTATCTAATAAGTGGCTTAAGCTAAAGGAACACGACAATGACTTTTATATACAACATTGGTAAATTGATTAGTCCCATACTGGAGTCCATTATAGTAAGCATCCAGTATTCGAATACACTTCCACCAATACTTGAGAAGCAAAAGTGGAGGTACTTCCTCTAAGGCCTTGGGAACAGTTTTAACCAACGAGGGCCAATTGTATTGACAATACTTGCAAGTAAACCACTTGGCCCTTCCCCATCTGTATTCTATCCAATTGAGCTCACAATGAAACTTGGAAAAGAATAAGCAAAGATGACCACGTTTGTCAATCTCTTCCTTCAAGCATGACTTTTGCTCTAAAAAGTCAGGCTGTACAGAGAGCAGCTGTAACCGGTACGGGTACTCGGTTACTTGGTTTGTTTTAAGTATCGCTTTGATACTTGGTTTGTTTTAAGTATCATTTGATACTTGGTTTTGTTTTATGTTTTGTTTTAAGTATCGCTTTGATACTTGGTTTGTTTTAAGTATCGTTTGATACTTGGTTTTGTTTTATGTTTTGTTTTAAGTATCGCTTTGATACTTGGTTTGTTTTAAGTATCGTTTGATACTTGGTTTTGTTTTATGTTTTGTTTTAAGTATCGCTTTGATACTTGGTTTGTTTTAAGTATCGTTTGATACTTAGTTTTGTTTTATGTTTAGTTTTAAGTATCGCTTTGATACTTAAAGAGTTTTACCAAAGTGTATCGATTGATACCTTTGATTAGTTTCGTTCATGCTAGACATGAACAGATTTGTATATTTAAAGACCGCCTGTTTCTATGATAGAAAAGGCAGACTTCGACAGACAGTATTTCAATATACTTGGTTGAACGGTTACTTCTTTGTTCCTCAGTACGCCCTCGAAGCCTCCTTTAGTTATCAGCTCTCGCCTCCTCTCTGGAAGAGCAGGCCACCTGCCAACTATCGTACCTTTTACCGTAAACGTGATTAGCACCTTGCGAACACGTTACATTTTTTTAACCTCAGCAAGTGGTTAAGAACCTGTCCCCGGATTTAGGCCTGATCAACCTATCGATATCCACCTCAGAACGCTAGCGGAGAGAAGCGGCAGAATTTCAGTATATTCGGCTTCATCTCAAACCCAAGATAGAGTCTTTGACGACCAGGAGTGGGAAGCAAATCCCACGGCAAGACCTTACAAGGAAGAAACAACCCCGGCGCTCTGCTAAAGAGCCCGGCGATCCAGAAAACACGGAAGATACACAACCTCCAGGAGAATTCCCTTCTACTCCAGCAAAGAAGCCTTCCTTTGAACCTCCAATCGACCCCGAATCTAGTAGCGATTCAGATATGGCTAGCACAGGAGGAGCGCCTTCTGGAGGAGGGAAATCTCGGGCAAGGCCTGAAGAAGAAGAGGTACCCGCAGCATTTGAACCCCCTAAGTTTAAACTTCACCTCCCAGCGAAGTTCACAGGCGAAGGGAAAGACCTCAAACCTGAAGCTTTTGAACGATGGGCCACAGAACTCTCACACTTCCTACTCTTACAAGGAAAAGATGTGGAAGATCCTACAACCGGACTTATCATTGGATCATTCTATAAAGGAAAGGCAACCGACGCATACCACCAATGCTATAACGACTTCGGCGGGAATGTAAGATTAAGAGGATCTACAGTTCTCGATTACTTGAAAGGACGATTCCAATCCTCTATAACCAACGACCTCCTATACAACAAATTCAACCAGCTCCAGCAAGTTAACGGAACACATGTCAAGCGAATCACCGATGTGGCTACGGACCTAATAATGTATAAGGACTGAATGGAGAGAGGAAGTATCTCCAAATACATCCTGAAGCGACGATTCTACGACACTATGAGTCACCCGTTACCAGGCTCCGGCGAGAGGTAGAACCACTCGAGGAAGACGGCGATGATATTGCAGTAATAATTGCTAGAGCAGAACGAAAGGACGCCATTCTCCATGAGACCAAGGCCTACAAAACACAGACATCCTCTAATAGGAACAGCCAGCCACGACACAAAGCCTCCAGCAACTCTGAAGACAATACCCCACGAGTTTTCAAGAAGAAAACAAAATCCTCCAAAGAATCGAGACGGCAAAAGGGAGAATGCTTGGAATGTGGAAAAACAGGGCACATGGCAAAGAACTGTCCTATGAAGAAAGGAAAAGGAAAAGCTATAAAAAAAGAGGCGTCGGCCAACAATATTGAAAGCGATTACGTTTCATCCAGTGAATATGAAGAGATCCACATTGGATACATCGATGTGGAATGCAACAGTATTCGACCTCCGGCTACATTCAAAACACACACCGCTCTAGAAGGCACTATCCTGATCAATGGCAAAAAGGCTCGAGTCCTATTTGACACTGGTGCAATTGGAAGAGATATGATCAGTAATGCCTTTGTCTCTGTCCATGGACTCCCTACCCGAGACCTTAACCAACCCATACCAGTCAATATGGCAGTAAAAGGATCACGATCCACAAGCCATAAAACCTGTAGTGCGACCATTCGACTTGGTTCTGCAGTCCTACCCCCCCAGGAAATGCTGGTTGGAAATT